AGGGTGGGGGAGGTTTGGATCAGGGTGGGGGAGGGCTGGATCAGGGTGGGGGAGGGTTGGATTTGGGTGTGGGAGGTTTGGATCAGGGTAGGGGAGGTTTGGATCAGGGTAGGGGAGGGTTGGATCAGGGTGGTGGAGGGTTGGATCAGGGTGGGATAGGGCTGGGGTAGGGGAGGGTTGGATCAGGGTAGGGGAGGGTTGGATCGGGGTGAGGGAGGGTTGGATTAGGGTGGGGGAGGGTTGGATTAGGGTGGGGGAGGGTTGGATTAGGGTGGGATAGGGCTGGGGTAGGGCTGGGGTAGGGGAGGGCTGGATCAGGGTGGGGGAGGGTTGGATTAGGGTGGGGTAGGGCTGGATCAGGGTGGAGTAGAGATGTGGCATAACTTGAGGAGGGCTGGATCTGGATGGACTTGGTTGGGGAACAGTTTGAGTATGGACTGTATCACTAAGCATCAGGGTGGTGTACAGACAAAGAGACCCCTCGCCTACATCAATGAACAACACAGTCAACACAGCAAGGTATTTACACGGTACACTATAGAATTGAATATAGTTAAAAATAGGAGATAATTTTAAGATGAAAGCACAAACGAGTTTTATTAAATCTGGGCCTATATGAAGAACCTGAAGAACCTCCCCCCCCCCTCCAATTATAGGGTGATGAAAATCAATGGAATGCCACTGGCGGCAAAAGAGCCGATATAAAACGGACCAATGAGCGTGGAGTGTAGAGCGGGTCAAAGGTGACGCTGTCCCGAGGGGTCATTCATCGGGGGAGGTCAACAAACAAGAAGTGGTCCTGAATAAACGCGAGGGACAAGTGGATCTACAGGAGGGTCTGGTCAGTTTTACTGGACAGCGACTTTACACCGGTCACGTGACACAGATTGGCACGTGCATCTGGGCACGTGTCACAATAAAGTACTCTCAAGGTCAAGTGTACTACGGTACTACAATCGAAAAATCGCGGGGGGGGGGGGGGGGGGTTGTGGTGGAGGCAGTAGCAGATGTCGTGTAAGGATGACCCAGGTGGTCAAGCCTGGCCAACTAACAAAGCAAGAAAAAAATATTCTATAATTAATTCAATTCTATCTTTTAGTGACACCAATGATCAGTTTTAGTTATCGGACAGATTTAAAACGCTTTTTATAATTGAACGTTATCATATGTTCAATTAAAATAGATGTTAAAAATAAAATCAATACGTTATACAGTTTTGTAAAGTGTACGAAAAGAAATCGATATTTAAGTACAGACAGGACATTTAAACAGACACGTTTTTAAGTCGATTTTTTAATATGGTGACTAATGTTCAAACATATGAAAACAGTTTGAGGTGTTTTAGTCTCTAGGTAGTAGGGGTAGGGGAGGTGGGCAGACTGATAGACGCTAGACGCGATGACTAATCCTGTTGTATCTGGGATTTACTGCTAAACCCCTCCCTCGACGAATAGAGGACATTATAAAGGCTACTGGCCATTTAACTTAAAAACCTTATGAAGGCTACCGGCCAACTCCCTTAACTTAAAGACCTTATGAAGGCTACCGGCCAACTCCCTCAACTAAAAGACCCTATGAAGGCTACCGCCCAACTCCCTTAACTTAAAGACCTTATAAGGCTACCGGTCAACTCCTCAAACAAGGACCTTATAAAAGCTACCGACCAACCCCCCCCCCCCCCACCAAGCAAACTTAAAGACCTTATAAAGGCTACCAGCCAACGTTAATACCTTATATAAGTACCTCTGTCTATGCTGGCATCCATCGTTTGGTACCGTACTGACTCCTCACATACACACTCGTGTACAGCTAGATATGTAACTAGTAAGGGTGGGTAGTGTCAGCAACACGTTATGGACGGGTGGGGGAGGTGTGATCTAATCAATAAAGGTTCATAGTTGGGATTGTATCCGCCATTCAATGTTTACCTAGCTTATCTCTAGCTGGACCATGCAGAGTCCTAGCACGGCCAACATTTCAAACTAACCAACTGTTGGTGGCTTTAAAAGGTACTGGCATGGTCAATTTATAGTGGGATTCACACGGCAATCTGGGGTTCTAACTTGACCAATAAGTAGAAGATTTTACATGGCCAACATCTAGAGGTCCTAACATATAGGAAGTAGTGAGGGAATGGGTTTAATGTGGTCATCACATATAACAGTACAGCGTGATGACGTGATCACAAACAAGAGTGTAGTGTTCTGACGTGATCACATACAAGAGTTGAGTGTGATGACGTGATCACATACAAGTGTGGAGTGAGATGACGTGATCACATACAACAGTGGAGTGTGATGACGTGATCACATACAAGATTGTGATGACGTGATCACATACAAGAGTGGAGTGTGATGACGTGATCACATACAAGAGTGGATTGTGATGACGTGACGTCAGAACCCACTAAACCAACAGATGCGATGAAGTAAACAGCTCGCAACGTCAGACAATCTAGCGCCCATCTCTACCCCTCTCTAAACACCCCCCCACACCCCCGTCTAACACGCATAAATATTTATTGGCACCCTGGAATAAAATCTGCGGGTTGTTTTTCTTTTACACCTTCAAACCTTCTTTACTTCTAATTTTAGCTTCATGTAATTTTACACCCAACTTTTGCAGCAGTTATAAAGTTTATAGATCTACCTCAAAGTTCAGAAGATTTAAAGAAATAAACTAAATGTTAAAATAAAACAAAAACATTGCAAATTATTTATTTTTTAAATATCAAAGTACAAAATTTGAATGTTTTTCGTTGCTCAGTGAATTTTCGCTGACTCGGTACTTTAAGTGGTGCATTCAGGGGAAACAATCCACACACTTTTGTTTTTACTACACGTCATGAACCATCGCGGGGCTATTTATAGAGCAAGGTACGAGCAAAAAAATCGCTGAACCAAATGAAAGCATAAGCCAAAAACAATCACCGGTGTTTTAAAATAAACGGATTATGTGTTAGGGCATCGGGTTTTACAACAATCATGGCGGGATTATTTAAGCTAGGGGACAATACTCTGTCATTGAGAGCTAGAGTTCGTTCCCTTGTTATGTTTATATAGACAGGTGAGATAGTGTGTGATGTTATAATATAATTATACGAGGTGAGATATTGTAGTGAGGTTTTAATAGGGCAACCTCTGGCACCAAATGTAGGAGAGTGAGGAAGGAGAGGGGAAGGAGAAGAACAGAGAGAGAGAGAGAGAGGGGGAGACAGAGAGTGGAAGAGACAGAGAGAACACGAGAACAAAGGTGAGGAGGAAATGGGTAAGTAGAAGAGGTAATTCTTAGATTCCACGGTGGTCTTTATTAACATCCACACACACACACATGCACCAACACAAAGGTGAGGTAAAGTGAGACGATGACGTCATCGTTATCAAGGACAGCGCCGTGGGTTGGGTGTGATCTCACAGGTAGTACCACATCTGGACACGATTTGTGGACTCAATGTGACGATCTCCCCCTGGGGGGAGGCGGTATTGGCAGGGGGGGGGGGATAATAAAGATAAGGTTGTGACTGAGGTACCCACATAAAGTATTGAACACGACAAAGCTACACAGACCACGAGAACATAACGAGTGCCGTAACCTTCATTGACTCACCCGTGTAGCGTGTGTAACCTTGTACAATGTCAGCTCCGTGTTGCAGGCAACAGTTTGTTTACCGTGTAGCTGCTACACAGCAACTGGCTAACACGGTAGGTAAAAAAAAAAGTTAACATTCTATTCCTGAAAACAGTCCCGCGCTGTTTCTCCCCTACATCTGGCAGAAGATAACAAGGAGCCTGAAGGACGGAGCAGACGATAGGGGCGGGAGAAAGATGATGCCAGGAGACCTAACAATTAGCAAATTTTAATTCGGTTTTTTTTTCTAAGGGGAAGTAAAGGGCGACCACCTACTAAATAATTTTTTTAATCTAACAGAAAGAAGACAATGGGAGAGAAGCCTAGAATTAAGTTCAGAAAATGATTATTTCAGGTGAATGAAGACTAATAGATTTTAAACAATGCAGGAGAAAAAAAAACGAATTTTCTTAGTAGACGAATATTTTTCAAGTACTCAAACGAATTTTAATCAACAATGACTGTATTCGTTATAAATAAAGTTTAAAAAAAAAAATAGCCTAGAACATATAACCATTTATTAAAATCTGTGTTATATTAATATTATATTTCAATGCAAATAATGTAAACAGCAGAGAGAGCCAATTGTTGGATTCTGGCAAGTTCTCATAGAATCAATGTATGAATCGATCTGGTCTGCTGTTGGTGGAGGGAGCCCTGTGTGGGAGGTGAGGCGCTATGTGAGGGATGTGAGGTGCAATGTGGTGGGATGTGAGGCGTTATGTGTGAGAAGTGAGGTGCTCTGTGTGGGACGTGAGGCGCCCATTGATGCGACGATAAGACATTAAATGGCCGATGGGGCGATAAGGCAAATATTAAATGGTGGCCCAATTTGAATGCGGGCTATTGCCCGAGTATTCATCAAAATTGTGACATCAAGAAGTAGGTTAAAAGCCCAGCTTCACATCACTTGGTTAAAACAGTTGTGTGCTGCGTTACTTGCGAGTGTAGATTTGTATATGGTAGTGTAGTTTTGTACGGTTAGGTTAAACAAGATTGGGTTAAGTTAGATTAGGTTATGTTAAGTAAAAAATAAAATAGATTAATTTAAACTAATTTAGGTTAGGACACAGTTTTTAGCCAGGTCGTTCCCGAATGACCGGAATCTTCTTGGCATTACTACTCCGCGCATGTTTAACAACCCCGCAGATATGTGGATTCGACTTCCGGTCTGGTTTAGAAGGATTGGGGGAATCCTTAAAAACAGACCTAATACTACTGGCGTGATGCTGATGTGACGTCACCATGTAACGTATATTTTTTTTAATTCAGTCGGTACAAATATACATAATACATTGAATCTACAGAATCATTCAGAGATTATCAGAGACAATCGTAGGTAAATTAAGTCCACGAACAGCGGATTATCTTACCTGGCGATAGTCCAAGAAATTCCACACAGACCTCCGGCCAAAAATGAGTCACGCCTGGACCGGGGGGGGGGGGGGGGAGTGTATCAAACTTACCCGGGCCCCACAGATCAATATGGGTGATCTACAAGCTACAGGCCCGCTAGAGGAGGGGCGAATAAGGGCGGACAACTTCTGGCGGTGCTAGTGGCCTAAACTAGCCTGTGTGGGGAGCTGGGGTGGGGTGGCCGGATGAGGTGGATAGGGGTGGGGGGAGAGGGTGGCAGGTGAGGCATTTTGTTTATAGTTGTAGGAATCTCTAAACTCAGTATGCGTGGGTGCAAGTCGTACGGTACAGCGGATTGGTAGTAAGCGATGTAACGCTGATTAAAAAATTATTGGGGCATGTGCTACCTACATAGGAACTCTAAAAAAATTATATTAGCAGGCTGTTGCATACATAAATCATGGCGGTTTAGTTGTCGAGTTCGCGGTGTATGTAACAATGCGTCATGTTAATAATGCATGCAGCACGAATGGTAAAACATAGAGTGATTTCCCTTGGGAGGGTTTTTACAAGCTATTGGTATGAAGAATACACGATAAGTTTGTTGGACTTAAATACTGTAGGATTTCACAAACTCTGCATGTTTCTGTAGGTCATCAAGTTGTGATGTTAGGTCTAGGACTATTGATACTATGAGAAACAGGAACATTGTAGGCTTTAATTACAGAATATAATATTGTATTTGGAGTGGTGACAGGATAGCAGTGTGAGAGTGTGTGGTTGATGTGGGTGGTCGATTGTGGTACTGTGGGTAGGAGGTGTGTGGGGTGGACGGGTAGGGAGATTGAGATGTGGGTTTAGTCGGTGGGGTTAATTGGGGGGGGGGGGGGGAAGACTGTCCTGAATAGGGAAGAAGTTGATAGGGAAATTGTGTTGTGTTATAACATTTGTTAGGTGGGTGTGGCGATGTTGCTAAAGTAGCATGTGGTCGGGTGTATGTTGTGTGTGTGGGGGGGGGGGGGGGGGATATTGAGATGGTAATATTTGGGTAGACAGTGTAAAGGTTTTCTGCTATTTAGAATGATGCACTGCTGATAAAAGTTTAGGGCCCTTACCGTAGTGATAGATAGCAGAATCTAACCCTGCTACTAACAAAACCAGGTTCCATAACTCAAAGAGAAAAAATATGGTGTGTATTAGGTCATGACTCACAGTCTTGTTTAATACACATCCGACTTATTGGTTTCTAATATTTCTCGAATGAGGGAAAAAATGATAATCGTTTTTGTTATTTTTTCCAAAGGTTTATTCCTAAGCTTAAACAAAACTTTGATTTTAAAAAGTCTTCGTTTTTTGTTTTGTTTACCCCATTGTCTAACTCGTCCCGTACTAACTTCGTGAAACACATACCAAAATAGTTGTTAGTAAAGCTTGTTGACAATTTATAACATTAAAACACAAACATCTTGCAAGATAGTTTATTATTTTAAAAAGAAATTCATAACAAGACTCAGATATTTTTGGACAACAAAATATAATGATGTATTTTTGTTGTCTAGGGGAAACTACTCTAGAAAATGTTTGGATGTAAATGGAACATTTTCTAGCATGCGTTGTCTGCCTGCAAGAAGCGGTTTTCCAAAGCGAACCGAATTAATCGTGACGTCGGTGCCAGTATTTGAGCTCGTCTGTTATGGCAATGACCACTACTGTGACTCTAAGGTACACAAATAAACAGCTGCACTACAGCCCGTGGGGACAGCTGGGACTCGCCACAAGAAAATACATCCAAGTAAAACAAAATAAAACCAGATAGGGGGTAAGCGTGTAGGGTGTTACAATCTACTGAGTTACATAAAGTATAAAACTCACACAAGATGGCCAAGAACTAAACAAACAAAAAAAAAAACCACGATAAAAATGCTGATAAATAAAACAAGCGCCTCGACAAAAATGACCGCACAAGTAAAAAAAAAATAAGGCCATGAAAGATGGCCAAAAACATAAACAAAACAATGGCCACGATAAGCTTATC